AAAATGTTTGTTTGTTTTATACGACTCTACCTAACCTAGCAATTTGTTTCAAACTTAACCCTAGTATTACCAACAGGACTCTACCAAACTTAACAATTTGTTTCAAACTTAACCCTAGTATTACCAACAGGGTTCATGAGGACTTTTTTTTTTAACCACATTGTTTTATACTAATTATAAATATCATATTACTACTGTTTTTATTGTTTAAAGAATATAATTTTTATTTAGATTTCTCAAAACCAAACACAGACTTTGAGGGCACAGAATGAAATAGATACTAAAAATATGTGATGAAGGTTTATTCTTTAACATGAGGTATATTTCAGGAGGCACCACATGGCAGTTTACAAGATATGTAACAAGCTGGTCTCACTTCAGCTAAACATCATCTAGCTAGCTATACTGCACACTAGGAATAAGACTAGTTTAATAAATCTACCAGTGTTAGGGTGCCCATTAAAAATATTTTGTGTCTTATACAAAATGATTACTTGCTTACCCTTTGCGGTGTGTATATTGGAGCCACGGTGTCCAAGTCTGTCAATGGAAATTCAATACCTTTCTGTTTCAGATCGTGATAAACCTGGACAACTCCTTGCATTTCTGGATTCATGAGGAAAGCATCAGCCCAGCTCTACACAAAGAGTTGAAATATCTTAGCTAAAACAAAAGCATAATGAAATGAAAACTATGTTAAGAAAAGGAAACAAAAGGCAGGATGAGAAAATGAGATAAAAACTATGTTAAGCAAAAAGGAAAGCACGATAAGTTGTGAAAAATGAAATTAAAACTATGTTACGAAAAGGAACGGAAAGATAAGTTATGAAAAATGAAATGAAAAGTGTGTTAAGAAAGCAAGTAGAAAAATATGTTAACAAATGAAATGAGAGGTATGTTAACAAATGAAATGAGAGGTATGTTAACAAATGAAATGAAAGGTATGTTAAGGAAATGAAATGAGAGGTATGTTAACAAATGAAATGAAAGGTATGTTAACAGATGAAATGAAAGGTATGTTAACAAATGAAATGAAAGGTATGTTAACAAATAAAATGAGAGATATGTTAACAAATGAAATGAAAGGTATGTTAACAAATGAAATGAGAGGTATGTTAACAAATGAAATGAAAGGTATGTTAACAAATGAAATGAAAGGTATGTTAACAAATGAAATGAAAGGTATGTTAACAAATGAAATGAAATGTATGTTAACAAATGAAATGAAAGGTATGTTAACAGATGAAATGAAAGGTATGTTAACAGATGAAATGAAAGGTATGTTAACAAATGAAATGAAAGGTATGTTAACAAATGAAATGAAAGGTATGTTAACAAATGAAATGAAAGGTATGTTAACAAATGAAATGAAAGGTATGTTAACAAATGAAAGGTATGTTAACAAATGAAATGAAAGGTATGTTAACAAATGAAATGAAAGGTATGTTAACAAATGAAATGAAAGGTGTGTTAACAAATGAAAGGTATGTTAACAAATGAAATGAAATATATGTTAACAAATGAAAGGTATGTTAACAAATGAAATGAAAGGTATGTTAACAAATGAAATGAAAGGTATGTTAACAAATGAAATGTATGTTAACAAATGAAATGTATGTTAACAAATGAAATGTATGTTAACAAAT